TCTGAACCTTTTGAGGCGCCTCAAAAGTTTTGTACCTGCCGAGGGGGTTACCTGACAGTCTGAACCTTTTGAGGCGCCTCAAAAGTTTTGTACCTGCCGAGGGGGTTACCTGACAGTCTGAACCTTTTGAGGCGCCTCAAAAGTTTTGTACCTGCCGAGGGGGTTACCTGACAGTCTGAACCTTTTGAGGCGCCTCAAAAGTTTTGTACCTGCCGAGGGGGTTACCTGACAGTCTGAACCTTTTGAGGCGCCTCAAAAGTTTTGTACCTGCCGAGGGGGTTACCTGACAGTCTGAACCTTTTGAGGCGCCTCAAAAGTTTTGTACCTGCCGAGGGGGTTACCTGACAGTCTGAACCTTTTGAGGCGCCTCAAAAGTTTTGTACCTGCCGAGGGGGTTACCTGACAGTCTGAACCTTTTGAGGCGCCTCAAAAGTTTTGTACCTGCCGAGGGGGTTACCTGACAGTCTGAACCTTTTGAGGCGCCTCAAAAGTTTTGTACCTGCCGAGGGGGTTACCTGACAGTCTGAACCTTTTGAGGCGCCTCAAAAGTTTTGTACCTGCCGAGGGGGTTACCTGACAGTCTGAACCTTTTGAGGCGCCTCAAAAGTTTTGTACCTGCCGAGGGGGTTACCTGACAGTCTGAACCTTTTGAGGCGCCTCAAAAGTTTTGTACCTGCCGAGGGGGTTACCTGACAGTCTGAACCTTTTGAGGCGCCTCAAAAGTTTTGTACCTGCCGAGGGGGTTACCTGACAGTCTGAACCTTTTGAGGCGCCTCAAAAGTTTTGTACCTGCCGAGGGGGTTACCTGACAGTCTGAACCTTTTGAGGCGCCTCAAAAGTTTTGTACCTGCCGAGGGGGTTACCTGACAGTCTGAACCTTTTGAGGCGCCTCAAAAGTTTTGTACCTGCCGAGGGGGTTACCTGACAGTCTGAACCTTTTGAGGCGCCTCAAAAGTTTTGTACCTGCCGAGGGGGTTACCTGACAGTCTGAACCTTTTGAGGCGCCTCAAAAGTTTTGTACCTGCCGAGGGGGTTACCTGACAGTCTGAACCTTTTGAGGCGCCTCAAAAGTTTTGTACCTGCCGAGGGGGTTACCTGACAGTCTGAACCTTTTGAGGCGCCTCAAAAGTTTTGTACCTGCCGAGGGGGTTACCTGACAGTCTGAACCTTTTGAGGCGCCTCAAAAGTTTTGTACCTGCCGAGGGGGTTACCTGACAGTCTGAACCTTTTGAGGCGCCTCAAAAGTTTTGTACCTGCCGAGGGGGTTACCTGACAGTCTGAACCTTTTGAGGCGCCTCAAAAGTTTTGTACCTGCCGAGGGGGTTACCTGACAGTCTGAACCTTTTGAGGCGCCTCAAAAGTTTTGTACCTGCCGAGGGGGTTACCTGACAGTCTGAACCTTTTGAGGCGCCTCAAAAGTTTTGTACCTGCCGAGGGGGTTACCTGACAGTCTGAACCTTTTGAGGCGCCTCAAAAGTTTTGTACCTGCCGAGGGGGTTACCTGACAGTCTGAACCTTTTGAGGCGCCTCAAAAGTTTTGTACCTGCCGAGGGGGTTACCTGACAGTCTGAACCTTTTGAGGCGCCTCAAAAGTTTTGTACCTGCCGAGGGGGTTACCTGACAGTCTGAACCTTTTGAGGCGCCTCAAAAGTTTTGTACCTGCCGAGGGGGTTACCTGACAGTCTGAACCTTTTGAGGCGCCTCAAAAGTTTTGTACCTGCCGAGGGGGTTACCTGACAGTCTGAACCTTTTGAGGCGCCTCAAAAGTTTTGTACCTGCCGAGGGGGTTACCTGACAGTCTGAACCTTTTGAGGCGCCTCAAAAGTTTTGTACCTGCCGAGGGGGTTACCTGACAGTCTGAACCTTTTGAGGCGCCTCAAAAGTTTTGTACCTGCCGAGGGGGTTACCTGACAGTCTGAACCTTTTGAGGCGCCTCAAAAGTTTTGTACCTGCCGAGGGGGTTACCTGACAGTCTGAACCTTTTGAGGCGCCTCAAAAGTTTTGTACCTGCCGAGGGGGTTACCTGACAGTCTGAACCTTTTGAGGCGCCTCAAAAGTTTTGTACCTGCCGAGGGGGTTACCTGACAGTCTGAACCTTTTGAGGCGCCTCAAAAGTTTTGTACCTGCCGAGGGGGTTACCTGACAGTCTGAACCTTTTGAGGCGCCTCAAAATTTTTGTACCTGCCGAGGGGGTTACCTGACAGTCTGAACCTTTTGAGGCGCCTCAAAAGTTTTGTACCTGCCGAGGGGGTTACCTGACAGTCTGAACCTTTTGAGGCGCCTCAAAAGTTTTGTACCTGCCGAGGGGGTTACCTGACAGTCTGAACCTTTTGAGGCGCCTCAAAAGTTTTGTACCTGCCGAGGGGGTTACCTGACAGTCTGAACCTTTTGAGGCGCCTCAAAAGTTTTGTACCTGCCGAGGGGGTTACCTGACAGTCTGAACCTTTTGAGGCGCCTCAAAAGTTTTGTACCTGCCGAGGGGGTTACCTGACAGTCTGAACCTTTTGAGGCGCCTCAAAAGTTTTGTACCTGCCGAGGGGGTTACCTGACAGTCTGAACCTTTTGAGGCGCCTCAAAAGTTTTGTACCTGCCGAGGGGGTTACCTGACAGTCTGAACCTTTTGAGGCGCCTCAAAAGTTTTGTACCTGCCGAGGGGGTTACCTGACAGTCTGAACCTTTTGAGGCGCCTCAAAAGTTTTGTACCTGCCGAGGGGGTTACCTGACAGTCTGAACCTTTTGAGGCGCCTCAAAAGTTTTGTACCTGCCGAGGGGGTTACCTGACAGTCTGAACCTTTTGAGGCGCCTCAAAAGTTTTGTACCTGCCGAGGGGGTTACCTGACAGTCTGAACCTTTGAGGCGCCTCAAAAGTTTTGTACCTGCCGAGGGGGTTACCTGACAGTCTGAACCTTTGAGGCGCCTCAAAAGTTTTGTACCTGCCGAGGGGGTTACCTGACAGTCTGAACCTTACCAAAAAAAGAGGGGGCTCGGGTGTGCTACAGGCAGCTAGAGAAACGAAACAGTGAAACAGAAGTGTGTGGAATGACTAGCAGGAAAACGAGTAAAAGCGGAGGGAGAGTGGCTGGTGGAGCGATACTCATCTCTTGGTGGGTGTGTTGTGTGCTGGGAAGACCAAGTCGACTCGCTGCTGCCTCCGCTGCTCCCTCTGCTGCTGCTGCTGCTACTGCCTCTGCTGCTCCCTCTGCTGCCTCTGCTGCTCCCTCTGCTGCCTCTGCTGCTCCCTCTGCTGCCTCTGCTGCTCCCTCTGCTGCCTCTGCTGCTCCCTCTGCTGCCTCTGCTGCTCCCTCTGCTGCCTCTGCTGCTCCCTCTACTGCCTCTGCTGCTCCCTTTGCTGCTACTGCTGGTGCTTCCTCTGCTGCTCCCTCTGCTGCTGCGTCCGCCCCGCGTGCCCGGGCAGACAACTGAAAGTGACACGGCTGAGAGGCGGGAGGAGGGCGGGGTGTGTGTGGAGGGCGGGTAAGAGGTGAGTGGAACGAAGTAGAAGGCAGAGTAATGCACAGATGAGCAGCTGATAGCCACACGCGAGCACGGGATGGAAGCATAGCTTCCGTAGCACACCCAAGGGGAGGGGAGGGGGAGACCTTTACCTCACCTCAGCGTACCAAGGAGAGAAGTTTTGCACCTACCAGAGGGAAGACCTGAGAGTGTAGACCTTGAAAAAAAAGGGGGGGGGGGGGGGTCGTGTGTGCTACAGGCAGCTAGAGTGGCGAGGCAATGATGTGGGAAGCATACGAAATGGCAAGGCGGAAAAGCGAGTAAAGGAGGAGGGAGAGTGGCTGGTAAGCGATAGTCATCTCTTGGTCGCTGTGTTGTTGTGTGCCGGGGGGAGCAAGACGACCCGCCGCTGCCTTTGCTGCTGCGTCCGCTCCACCTCCCCAGTAGCTCTCCTTGAACACGAAAAGGGAGTCTCGGGTGTGCTACAGGCGGCTAGAGTGACGAGGCAGTGAAACATGAATGGCACACGAAATGTCAAGCGAAAAATCGAGTAAAGGAGGCGGGAGAGTGGCTGGTAGGGTGATACACATCTCTTGGTCGATGTGTTGTTGTGTGCTGCGTGGAGCAAGATGACCCGTTGCTGCCTCTGCTGCTGCACTCTCCTGCTGCGACTGTACGCGTCCCCATAGCAGCTTCCATTGATGCGCCTCACAGCCCACTGAGAGGGACCAGGGTGCGAGAGGGAAGGAGGACGGGGTGTGTGTGGAGGGTGGGGAAGAGGGGTATTAGAACCATGTGCAGCGGAAAGGATTGCAAAAGATCAGCTGCTAGCCACACGCGAGCAGGGGAGGGAAGCATAGCTTCATAGGACACCCAAGGGGAGGGGAGTGGGGGACCTTTACCTTACCGTACCAAGGGTTAAAAGTTTTGAATCTACATACCAAGGGGGTTACCTGAGAGTCTGAACCTTGAAAACGTAAAAGGGGGGGACTTGGGTGTGCTACAGGCAGCTACAGCGACAAGAAACAGGAACGCGAAACGGCAAAAGCATGTGAAACGACAAGCGGCAAAAGGGTTAGGCAGAGGCAGAGCCAGAGGGATACTCATCTGGTAGGAGGAAGCAGCAGCGAGGAGGCAGCAGCGCGTTGACTCCAGGTAGCAGCGCATTGACTCCAGGCAGCACAGAGCTGGGGGAGGAAGGGTGAATGAAGAGTCAGAAACTTTGAGAAGGGACCAATCAAGATTGAGAAAGCGGCAACAAGAAGTGAGCAATAGAAAGCCAAAGCAGAGATGCACGGAGAGGAGAACGGCTGCTGTAGCACACCCAAATGAAGTGAGGGATTGGAGGATTTTTACCTTACCATACCAAGGGAAAAGGTACCAAAGGGGACGGGAATACTGGATAGTCTAAACCTTGAAAAGAAAAGGGGGGGACTTGGGTGTGCTACGGACAGCTAGAGAGAAAAGCAACGCAAATGCGAAACGACATAGCGAAATTGAGGCACGGGAAATGAAAACCAGCAGAACGGTCAAAGGCAGAAAGGTACTCATCTCCCTGGTGACAGCAGCAGGACGAGCGTTGACTCGAAGTAACAGAACGTTGACTCCAGGCGGCCGGGAGTTGACTCGAGGCAGCAGGGCGTTGACTGAAGGGCAGCAGCAGGTCGTTGACTCGAGGTAGCAGCAGAAGAGTTGACTCTCGAGGCAGCAGGAACCTGGAGGAAAGGGAGAACGGGGGGGGAGGGAGTGAGAGGCCATGAGAACAATCAAGGAATAAAAAGCAGCAACCGGAAGAGGCTATTTCAAGGCTGGAACAGAGATGTACGGGATGGGATGGAAGCACGGCTGTTGTAGCACACCCAAGAGGCGGGGGGAGGGACCTTTACCTTACCAAGGGGTGAAATTTTTACATTTACCAAGGGGATACCAGACTGAATCTACAAAGGGGGATACCAGACTAAACCTGAACAAAAAAGGAGGGGCTTGGGTGTGCTACGGGCAGCTGGAGCGACGAGAATGCGCACGCGAAATGCGAATTGACAGGCAGCAAAGACTCGGAGGCGGATGGATACTCATCTCTGTGGTCGCAGACGGAGGCGGAGTGTTGACTCGAAGCAAAAGCGCGTTGACCCGAAGACCAGCGCGTTGACTCGAAGACCAGCGCGTTGACCCGAAGACCAGCGAGTTGACTCGAAGACCAGCGCGTTGACTCAAAGGCGTTGACTCGAGTAGCACGAACTGGCGAAGGGGAGAAGGAAATACGAAAGGGAGAAAATGACACAAAAGGGGAGCCATGGAGAACAGACAGGCGAAGTGAAGCAGCAAAGCGAAGAAGCGGACGCGCATGCACGGAAAGCGGCTGGAGTGAAGGTGCAGAGTGAAGCCCTCGCGACGCAAAGGCTGCTGTAGCACACCCAGAGGGGGGAAACCTTAGTCTGAACCGTACCTACCAAGGCCAAACCTGTACCGAGGCTGGGCTGTTACATACCCGCAATGGGGGCATACCTGCACCAGTTACACCTATACCTGGCACCTGAAACGAGGGGAGACCCTTGGGTGTGCTACAGAGCATGCGAGCAACGAGGGTGCGAGCGAGACCAAGGCGAGACCTGGTGAGACTCATTAACCAGTGATACTCATCATCTTAGTTCGAAGCAGCAGTAGCGCCAGCGTTGACTCGAGACAGCACGACGTTGTCCAGGCCAAGCTTTGACTCGCTGCAGCGAAGCGTTGACCCGCTGGAGCGTGTTGACGCGCGTTGACTGCAGTCGCAGATCTTGGCATAATCACTCAAAGCGGACCTATCGTGTTCGTCGTCTCACGCGCGATCTGGACGAAACGAAACGGCAGGGCGAACGAAAGGGCATCAGTAAGCATCCTTGGGGAAAAATAATAAAGGACACGGAAAACTACCGCGGCTTACCGTTTCTGTGGTTACTGGATTCACAGATCTTGGATCGATCGTCGCAGTCGCTATTCGTTGTCTTGCGACGTTCGTCGCAGAACTTGAAACGATGCAGGTCGAAGTTGTTCGTCGTGTCATTCGTGGAGCTGCAGGGATTAAAACAAATCTGGAAGGATAACATTCGACGATAATCCAGAAACGAAAATGGCAACGATGGTTGATACTTACGTTTAGTTGCTGAAAAAAAACATCGTCATGCGGAATTTCGCTGCGTCGGAGTGATCCGCTTCGGCCGCAACGAGACTCCACGCGTTCAGATAATAATGCTCCAAGGTGTTCCAGGTTGCTCGAAGGTGCTCTAATAGTTCTACCAACGGACCGGACGGATTGACGGCTGAACGGGAAATTTTGGAGAGCGGTGTTCAAATGAAAAACAAGAGGCGACAAGTCGTCCTAGGGTTGCGAAGCGTTGTGCAATATTTCACACCATACAATATCATACAATATTATATTTAGCATCGAATGTTGTTGTAACAGGTTTGGCACTTAATTTTGAATTGCGTCCGCATTGGAGAATACTCTCGCGCGCAAGAATCGAACCTTCCACCTTTAGATGCCAGAATTACATTCGATCGACTGCGCTTGAAGCTCCGCTGCGATTCCTTGTTTTGAATTATACTAAATGTTTCTTTGCGACAAATCTGAAATCTTTAGGGTTTGTTCCCCGTCTCTTTCTTCTCTCTTCCTCTCTTGGTTTCTCTTGGTTTGCTCCAGCTTCCCAAGCAGGGCCTTCTTTTGGTTTTTCGGTACTCTGGTTTTCAGAGTAGTTTTTATGCGAACTCTGAAATCCAGAGTGGTTCCTACGCCTTACTCTGAGCTGACAGAGTAACCCTATTACGTGGATTAAAAACCCTGGCACGTCAGAGTACATTTTTTTTGTACTCTGATCGTAGTGTAAAATGTTGTGTGAGAAGTATGGAATGGGAGTATTGTTTTTCCAACTGTTTTGCGTTTTGTTGTCACTCACACGGTTCAGTTCAGTCACGAATGTATTTCATAATTGAATGTAATATAGGAAATCCGATACTAACTAACTAATAAAGAGGAGGCCCTTGGGCTACACTAGTAGTAGTCATCCTCGCCCTCCGATTCCGCATCAGACTTGATCTTCGCCTTCCCCCTTGCGCAAACTGGTGCGCCGTGCGCAGGTTTCTTGGCGGGGCGACGCTTCTTCTGATTGCGCCAGATGTCAACGACTTCATGCCACACGAAGTCGTACTGGAGCATGTGGATGCTCATCAGCTCTGTCAGACGAGCGTCGTTGAGTGACGTGCGTATCCAGCTCTTGATGACGTTCTGCCTGCTGAACCCACGTTCGCACTCAACAGTGCTGAGCGGTAGCACGGACAACGCCTGCCACATCAGCATCAGGTTGGGGTACGTGCGAGCCCAGTCGCGCGTCTTCAGCATGTTTTGGAGCCCCTGATGAAAGTCCTCGTCCTCGTGGTGGTTCTTGAGGATGTGGCAGAACGTCTTCAGCTCGAGCTCTGCTGCCCGCAAGTCGAAACCTGCGCGCAGGGACAAATTTGGGTTTTAAACTGAAATAATTTACTGATAGCAGAGCTTAGCCAAACAACACCAGACATGCGCAACTGACAAAGTGTTCTAGATTCTCACCGGGCAGACAGTTGTTGAACAGCACAGAGTTTTGCCGAAGCCACATGAGGCAGCGCCGCTCGCGTGTGTCGAGGTTGGGGGGCCACGATTCCACCTTGAACAGCCTCGTCCCGCCCATGCGACGAAGATCCGCCATCCGCTCGGTGAGATTATGGACGGTCTGCTTGGCGAATGCCTTGCACATCTTCTCGCAGTCGCGCATTGTTCCGCCAAACTTGTGGCCAGCGATGGGCGCCTCGCTTAGAACAATCTCCTGGCTCACTGCGCGGCCGTTGGAGTCCACGCCCTCCACTTTCAGCTCACGCTTGCCATCCTTGTGGCGCTCCAGGAAAGGCGACAGCTGTGGGCTAAGGCCCTCCCCGAACTTCGTCTCGTAGTCGATGTAGCGGTGTTGGATGTACGACACCGTGCGGTCCACCTCCTGCGCCACGATTGTGACGTCCACCTGGGCGGAGGGCGGGAGGGTTTGAGATAATACAGCCAAACATAATAAGTTCACATTACAGAGTAAACAAACGTGTAAACCACCAGGCAGAAGTGGGAAACAGCGTCGAGATAATACTGCATAACATTACCTTTCGCCTCTGGAAAAACCGGTTCAGATTGTTGAGCTCGGCCAAGATGTCTGCCAGAAAATAAACGCAGAAGTGAAACTTCAACGTCTGCACGGTGCTGGCTATCTTGTGCTCGTACTCGATGAAGACGCAGATCGCCGCCCCAAGAACCCGGCACATCCGCAGCACTGCCTCGCCCCGTGCCAGCCAGCGCACGTTGTGGAGCCCCTGGTGCTCTAGATTGGTCTTGTGGTACACCTGCTGCAACTCCTTGAACCGCTCATACCAGGGAGTTGACTTCCCGACGATCGACCCGAGGGCCCTGATGGCGTTGTCCACAATGTTGAAGTCTGGATAGGCCTCTGCTGCATTCTTGACAGCTAACGCTTCTCTGCACGGTAGGGAACAGGGGGTTGCAGAGTAGGATATGTAAACCACAAAAAGAAAATCACATAGACTCAGAGAGATGTTTTACCGTGTTAAAATACCAAAAACATTTTGGAATAATAACACACCTGTGCGCGATGCAGTGGCACCCGACGAGATGCGCAATCTGCATGCGAAGGCGCGTCACAAGCCCAGTTTCCGATCCGACCATGACAGAGGCGCCGTCTGTTGACATCCCAACAATTTTCTGAAGGTCGATGCCGATGGTCTCCAGATGTTGGAGCAGAACGGCATGCAGCGACGCCGCGTCACATTGAGTGACGGTAAGGAGCGTCAAGAACTCTGTTACCACCACGCGGTCCTTCAGGAAAGTGACAAACACAATCATGTGTTTGCCACGAGCGCGGTCTGTGCTCTCGTCGCACATGATGCCAATGTATGGCGACGAGTGCACGTGTCGCATTTGCTCGCGGTGAAGGAAAGTGGTTAAAGCCTTTACCATTTCCGAAAAGCCGTACCTGGCCACAACCAACGGTTCGTTGTTAGTGCATATTGAAAAAAAAAAGGAAAATCAAGGAGTACGGGGTTCAACATCAAGTGAGACTCACTGTGTGATGTACACGCCGTAAGACTGTCGCGGTATGTCGGCGACGCCCTCCTCAGCAAGAAACTGCACGAGCCTGGGGTACATCTGAATCGGTGTGTCCGTCTTGCACACAAACACGATGCTCCGCATTAGCCGCGAAATCCGCGCGCCCTCTGGATCGCCCTTCGCAAAGTCATCGATGCGTTTCTGCTCCTCGATGTTCTTCATCAGACCCATTTGCTTCTTCATGGCATCGTCGTGCTTCACGCTCTTCTCGTGCCAGCGAAAGGACCCAATCTGGAGGTCCCGACCTCCTTTCCCATTGCGGCCGTAGCGAGCATCGTCCTTCCCGTGCTCTATACAGACACTGCAGCGAACACAAGGGAAACCGTCAGTCGATTTATCAAGGATTAACCATGGGAACCGCGGAAGCCATTCCGACGTGTAGCTTTTCTGGGCCTTCAAATACAACTTCTCCTTCTTCTCCTCTGCGGTGAGTCGGACTACAGGTGTTGTTTTCTTGGCAGGTGGCGGCGGAGTCGGTGCAGGCTTAACGGGCTGCAGACCAATCCCGAGCACGGACTGCGTGAAGCGCCGCTTCTTCGGCGTCTGTGAGGCGGTCGAGTCTGGAATAGACGCATCCACGACCTGTGTTGGTGCTGTCTCGGCCGGTTCAGCGATGCTTGGGTGGTGCGATCCATCGCACACCTCGTTCTGTCCGTCGTGGTCTTCATCTTCTTGGCGTGTCGAGCGAACCCACACCTCGACCCCATCGGAATGCTCGTCGTCGTCCGGTCCATCCCGACGATACCAATCGTCGCCTCCCCAGTAGTCACCACCGCCATCTTGCTGGTCGCCGGCGTGGTCATGGGAACGATGTACCCTGCGCAGAAACTCCATACCTGTGATGGGGCGAGAGCTGCATGACGGGCCGGGATCAGGATCAGGCGCAGCAGTGTCAGCGTGGTCTGTGTCGTTAGCCATCTGTGGCAAGGCTGCAGGAGAAGGGTGGCTTGAGGCGTGGTAGTGATGCTGGGTACCTTAAGCCTGATCACGGATTGTGGAAATGGATGGAGAAACACGGGTTCACCCCCCGGTGAGCCAGCCGAGCACTAGCAGGGCTTGGCCGCGTCGCCCACGTTTACACCTTCCGTGCGCTGTATCATTCCTTGATCCTGACTGAAGTTCAGATGTGTAACAGTGTGCGCTGGCTGGGAAAACTGCCACTCCAGCCAATCAGCTCGCAAAATGCCGCCAACACACGAAGCGAATCTTGATGAAGTGCTCGGCGACTCGGTTTAACCCCGGTAATTGGGGAAAGGGGGGGGGGGGGAGGGGGGGGGGGGCTAGGGGGCCTGTATCCTCTGTACAGAGTAAACACCATCCTTAGAAAAAAAACCCTGGGGCCTCAGAGTGAACTATATCTCAACTCTGATACATCAGAGAAAACACAACTCCCAAAATCATAACCCAGCAGGTACAGAGTCCCTCTAAAAAACAACTCTGATTTTCAGAGAAACAGAGTGATTTACTCTGATAACGTGGGCCCTGTTCCCAAGCTCCACCTTCCCAAGCTTCCCAAGGTCAGAAGTTGTTCTACTAATGTTTTAGAACTAAGTTAGGTGATAGTAATAAACTAGGTTAGACTAGCTAGTTTTTTATGGTTTTGTTCTACTGGTCTACTTAGTGTTGGTCGTTCTAAGGGGCTGCAAACTGTTTTTGTATTAGGTTCTAGGCATTCTGTAGGACTTTAGCTTATCTCATCGCGTGATGTTCCTTACGTCGTTCACCTTGCATCCGTTGTCCATTCCCTATCGCGCTCTTTACCTTTCCATGATTAGATAGGCTCTTTGGTTGTTGTTTCCTTCTCTTTTTTCTCCTGTCCATCCTATGTTCTTTCTTTTCCGGTCTCATTTTTTCTGTTTCTTCATATGTTATCTGATTCGTCCTTCTATTTTCTGGGGTTCATTTTGTTCCTCTATTCTCGTCTTTTTTTTCTGTTGTTCTTTGTACCGTAATTGCACAAATTTGTTTATTGCGTTCATCATTCTGTTCCCTTGAATACATGCTCTTCTTTAACGTGAGACATTCCTTTGCCTTCCCTCCCCTTTCTTCATGTTTTTTTTTTTTTTTCGGTTCCTTCTTTCATGATGTAAATCTGCATTTTAACTCTCTTCCCTTCTGCCCCTTCTGTTTTTTTTCTCTCTTTTGTACTTCTCTCAGGTGATTTAATGTTTTATTTTAGCGGCCAAGTATGTGGAAAGAGACCAGTGGCGTCAGGTCTTTATTTTGTATTGGAGATTTTCGTTTGCATATGTGATCTTTGGTTTTACAGTTCGTGCACTGATTTTTTGTCTTGCAAATGTGTAAGATCTTGTGCGTATGTTTGATTGTATGTATGTGTGCGTGTGTGTGTGTATGTTGTGTATGGGTGTATACGTGTGCTTGTACATTGCAATGACAATGCACGTCTGTGGGTCTTAAAAAGATGGCTCAGGTCTATCATTTCACAAAAGGTTCATTGGCGCACAAAATGACTCGTGTGTTGCCACTTCGAACTGGATTTGATAGGGTTGACCATTTTTTTAGGATTTACAGATTGTGTTGTTTCATGTGATAATTGATTATTCAAAATCTATGCTATTGACCTCCCCCCCATGCTAGGCAGGGGATGGCGGTAGCTTAGTTTTTGGGTCGTTAACTGTCACGCATTTTATTATGTGCATGCATGTGCATCATTATACATTACATATCATATTAAACATTATGCATCCTATAGCATTGTTTTTTATGCACATGCATTTATTCATCATTATTACAACACAGTTTAATAGTAAAACATATAATGCAAATAGTACAACATATCTGCACAAAACACCTGATAAAAAAAAATCATATGGTTTGATGTACTGTAAGCAGTATTGACAACTACTCACTATGCACAGTATGGGAAAGGGTACTGTAGTTTATGAATTTTATTTTCATATTTTATTTAAAATTAATAAATATGAAAATAAAATTTGGCAGAATCGATCGTAAAGGGTTGCTTCGCAACCCAAAAATCAGACTAAGTCTGAATTCTGAGGCCTGTGCAACCAGTGTCAGCATTACTCATATACAGACTGAAAGCCTAAGCACGTGAGCCTTCATACTAAATTTGAAGCAGGAAAATTCACTCAACCTAAAAACCCAGCTGCTACTTCTACAGCATGCCATCTCTTTTTGAATCTCGAAAACTCATTCAGCAGCACCATCGCCCACGCGTCGATGACTGTGCATGCTGGCAGTCAGGCTGGCAAAGAAGTCATTGATCTGCACGGGGCCCGGCCGGCTGCTTCCGCCGCTGTTGCCACTGGGCTTCGGCTCTGGCTCTCCCACAACTGCCTGGCACCGCTTGCTAGAATACACACTGTCATGCTGACTTGAACCTAAACTTGGCTGCTGAATTGGCTGCTGCTGACTTGCTGTCTGGCTTGGCTGCTGGCTTGGCTGCTGGCTAGTGGCCTGCTGTTTGTCCTGGTTGGGGTGTGTGATATTTAGCGGGACTTGTGTCTTGGGAAGAGGATCGAAGAAGTGCTGCCACAACGGTGGTGACGGCTGTTCTGGTGATGCTGGCGCTGGCTCTGCTGTGTCTACTGCTTGTGGTGCTGCTGCTCGTGGTGGTGGTGGTGCTGCTGCTGCCTTGTCTGAGTCTGCTGCTGCTTCTGCTTCTATCGACGTTGCTGCTGCTGCTGCTGCTGCTGCTACCATTGCCGGTGCTGCACACAGCTGCATTGCTGCTGGTGTTTGTGGCTCGTCTCTTTCTAAGGGCGACTGGGGCTTGGCGTGCTGTGGTGGAAGGCACAAGGGGAGCAAGAAGAGAGGGATATTAGAGGGGGCATGGGAGCGGAGGTGAAAGGGAGATGGGACCTGAATGGGTGGAAGGGAGGAGGAAGAGAGGCAAGGAGAAAGGGACAGGGGGATGGTGAGAGGGAGAGAAGGCGCTGAGGGTGAAACGTGGGGGAGCGGGGGGAATCGGGAAAAAGGGGATAAGGGAGGAAAGTGGCGGGAGCGAGGGAAGGGATGCAAGCAAGAATGGCAAGGCGAGAACGTGAACAGTCAGATCGGTGCGACTTTTGAGAATTCTCAAAAGTGACTTTCGAGTTGACTCTTGAGTCACATGAACAGTCAGATTGGTGCGAATTTTGAGAATTCTCAAAAGGGAGCGAGCGACGGGATGCAAGCAAGAATGGAAAGGCGAGAATGTGAACAGTCAGCACGAAACCCCACCTGTGCTGCCAGAGCTAACAGATCATCATCTGTGAAATCCATGTCAGCAGCATCCGTTGCCACGTCAGCAACGTCATGGCCACGCTCATAACGCTCCCCATAAACATCACCACCTCCCCTTTCCTCCTCTTCGTTTCCCTTCTCCTCCTCCTCCTCACAGCTCGCGCTTACATGTCGCCTCCTGCTCCTGCCCTTCCCCACCTTGCGCCCCCCCTTGGCCCCCATTCCCACCCCTGTATCCTCCTCCCTTTCTTCATTCCCCCTCCTCCTGCAGCATCTTCCCTTCCCTCTCCCTCTCCCTCTCTCCTCTTCCCCCCTCCCTACATCCACCCCATCCCTCACCTCCCTTTCACCCCCCATGTTCCCCTCCCTCCCTTCTTCTGCCTCTCCCTTCCCCCCATCCCCCTCCACCTCCTCTCCACCCTCCCGCTCTTCCTCCTCCTCTTTCACCCCTTCCACCTCCTCCTCCTCCTCCTCTTCCTCCTCACTAAAATCATCCCCCAACTTAAACCCCATCGTTCTCCTCCTCTCCCTCCTCACTCGCTTCACACTCCCTCCTCTTTTCACTTCTCCTCCTCTCTTCGTCCCAGCTTTCTTCTCCCCATCGAAACTCCCTTTTTCCTTCTTTCCCCGAACCTTCGTCTCACCCTTCCCCCTCCCCTCGTCCCCCTTCGCCCCCATCTCCTCCCCCTCGCCCCCCTTCCCCCCATCCTTTACCACCAGCATCCAAGCAGGTAATACTCTCCCTCTCTTCCTTGTTGCACCTGCTTCCCTCCCTCCACACCGCACTAAACCCATTCCTTTCCACAAACCCTCCTTAGCTCTACTCCCATCATCCCCTTCCCCTGTCTTCCCTTCTCCCTTTCCTATCCCCCCATCACCCTCTCCACCTCCTACTTTCCCAGCCTCCACTCTTCCCGATTCTAAGCCTACAGGCTTGGGAAGCCCGTTAGCAGGTTCGGATAAACGCTGCCCAGTAGCAACCGAGCCTGCTTGAGGCTCGGAAAACATACCCCTGGTTGAACCTGAGCCTGCAGTAACCACAGGACTGTGAGGGCTAACAGGAGCACATGCTGACGCGTCACGTCCAGGGGCTGACGTGTCAGCAGCAGGAGCTGACGTGTCAGCAGCGTGAAGTGACGTGGCGACTGTGCTGTTTGGCACCCTTGCACTAGAAACGGGTGGCATGGAGGACAGCTGAGAGCGGGGAACGGGAAACAAGGGAAAGAGGGGAACGGGGAAAAGGGGGAAGAGTGGGGAACAGGGAACGAGGCAAATAGGGATGAGGGAAGAACGCCGAGTCATAGAGCCTTTCTGCATCCTACAGGTCGCAACAGTCAGTTTGAAAATAGAAAGCAGGGAAACGGACTACGGGGGAAGAACAAGCATTACTTAGAAAGCATGCCATGGCATGGAATGGCATGGCGCAGCGTGGCATAACATGACACAACATGGCACAACATGGCTGCGGTGTGGCAGTGAACAACAACAGATGCCTCGGACAGGCTGCAGTTCAACTATTCATGAACCCCTTGAGATGGTCTATCGCCCACCTGAGTTGCAAGCTCGGGGAGCAGCGCTGCCACGTGCTTGCACACTCTATTTTCAAGGCACCTAAAAATTATACTGTCAATGAAATGCATTGACGCTCTTCTCGTCTCTCGCCCACCTGAGACACGCGCTCGAGGAAAAGCGCCACCATGTGCTTGTCCACTTTTGAGGCGCCTCAAAAACCACCATGTGCTTGTCCACTTTTGAGGCGCCTCAAAAGCCACCACGTGCTTGTCCACTTTTGAGGCGCCTCAAAAGCCACCACGTGCTTGTCCACGCTCTATTTTTGAGGCGCCTCAAGAATATACTATCAAGGAAATGCAATGCCGCCCTCCTCTCGCTTGCCCACTCCAGGAGCAGCGCCACCACGTGTTGAAGACCTTTCCTAGGAATGTGAGGCATCTTACATTATAAATACAAAGCCTCAGCGCCCTTCCCTCGCCCACCTGAGACGCGCGCTCGAGAAGCAGCGCCACCACGTGCTTGCACACTCCGTTGGCTGACCTGCCATTGGAGTGGATGGATGGTAGGGGAACGAGATAACTTCGAATCGACTCGGAATTCTTGAAGCGCTGCCACATGCTTGCGCACTTTTTGGGTAAAAATCTGCTTATACACTGCATTGACCGACCTGCCGTGGCGTAGATGGTGGGGGGCGTGGGGAAGGGGAGAGAAAGCGAAGCATGGGAGAGGAGGGGGAGGGGGTGAAGGAGAGGTCTGAGGTGAGTAAGGGACGGAGATGCAGGAGAAGGCACGAGATCATCTCATGCGGTGATGAGGCAGAGGGCAGAGCGAGAGAGGGAGAAGAAACGTGCCCGTCTCACCTGGCGTGTGCTGGGCACGTGCATTTCCCTTCCACCTTCACACATGGCACCCCTTCTCCTCCCCCTGTTGCTCGTCCACGTCCTCTCCCCCCTGCCCTTGCTCTGCTGCTCGCTGCTACTGCCCCTGCTCCTGCTGCTGCTCCTGCTGCTGTGCCTGTGAGTATATCGAAGCCGACGGTGTAGGCTTCGCCCGGATTCGATCCTGTGACAGCAAGGAACGGGGATTATAGCGGGAGGAGCGTGTAACGCACATGTAGCGCACGGACAAGGAAGTTGCCACGTGGCAATCAACATATGCCGATCATGCAAAAAGAGCATGCGTTTTCTGCAATACTTTACTAAGCTACCCTGAGTGACCTTGCCACCTAAGCTATCCGCAACAGTTTTTACTTACCTAAGCATTTCGCTTCACCCAGGTTCCACCCTTTCCCGCCAAACGACACGTCGGACAGTTTCCCGCCATCCCACACGTCAGCGGCGCGCCTCCCCACAGCGGGAGTCACGCTGGCGAGCACCTCGTCGCGACTCGCCAGGGCGGCGGGAATCGCGGGGGGAGCGGGACTGGTATCCATCGCGTCGGCGTCTTAGTCGTTTAAGGAGATGACTGGTGGTTCGAAGAACGAACGAGGGTTCGACGCACGGAGGAGGGAGGGTTCGACGCACTACGTAGGGTTCGAGCTGCGATTGACTGCCGCTGGCTCGAAACACGCGGGCGGGACGTGCCTGGCCAGAGCAGCATGAGGACATAAGAAGCGAGACCCGAACTCCAAGGCGCGTCACTTTCGAAGGAAGAACTGGAACTCCTTAAGAGCGTGTCGGACTAACACGCCGCCGCGTCGAAACTCGATGACGTCGCGCGTCGGTAAAAATCGCAATGCTCCACGAATGAACTCACCATTTATTTCGTACACTAGCTTCTAAACTACCTAGTCAACTACCATGCTGCATATGTCTGCACGAAACAAGTCTTCTGCAAATGCTGTTTTGTACTTTTTTGTGGACGATTCCTTACCGACTAAAAGCTGGTTTTAGAGACTACCAGCTACAGCACCTTGGCAACCAACTTCGTTTTCTGCTTCGCGCAATCAATAGCGAGGAAGGACATGCGACACCGTACAAAACCCAACCCAACCTAGAGAAATTCAACCAAATTAAGCCCGCCTTCTAGGTCCAAATCGTAAAATGCCTGTCCCTGTCCTGACCTGGAGTAATTTTTTGCAGCATCAGAGCACAGCGCAGCGCAATTCCTTATGTCTCATATTTCCTGCGTTAGTGTAGTGTAGCCGTCCGATCGTCTCTTGCATGAACGCTCTCCGGCGTTGTCGCCGCTTCTCCGCGTCCTTGCTCCAACATGCCGACCGCCATTTCCCGTTGAACCCATGGCCTCCTCGATTAACTCCCTTACCTCGATTCCCACCACCATCTAACACCCTGCTCGTTTCGCCCTCGCTGCTTTTAGAGTCTATTCAACAATCGTCGCCGTCGCTGCTCGAAATCTCAGGAGTGATGGCGTCGCGTTCGTCTCTTGCCATGGCTGCTTCATCCTTATCCAATCCCTCCGGTTTCTCCGGGATTTCCTCCTCCATGATCATCCCATCTCCTCTCCCTCGTGCCACGTCAGCACTGAGCTTCTCGTTGTTATCGAGGCGCACTGATCCGCTTTCCGGTTTTCCGGAGCTACAAGTGTCGCCTGCGACATGCGACAGTAGAAGCATGGTATCTGCGACAGCAAGCTGTCGCATTAACAAAAGCTCTCTTATAGGCACTCAATTTGGACAATCGTCCCCTCAACTTCCCTCGCAGTCTTTCATCCTTTCGGTCCGTTCGTTACAATCACGTCAGCAGCACTCACAGCCTCGGCGTCTCCCACCTGCGGGTGCTTATAACGATGGCAACCAACCAGGGTACCCCTATTCCTTCACCCGCGTTCCCAGCGAAGCATCCTTTAGCGCGGACGGCTCGTGGCCGGATAACTACAGGGTTTGGGAGAATGGTGGCGGATTGGTCCACGTGGAGGCGGTGGTTGACAGCTCAGCAGTGATCGAACCGTCAGCTGTGGTCCATTCGGAGGCTCGGATTGGCGCGAAAACGAGGATCGGATCAGGGTCGGTGGTGGGGCCGTACGTGAAAATAGGCGCGGAGAATGTTATATGGTGAGAAAGTTGCTCCAATCATTACTGTATATTTTTCTTCCCTAGTTCATTCGTATTGAACGCTAGTTCCACCCCCTTCCTCCTTCCCTCCCCCCTCCCCCCTGCTTTCGTGCTTTCCCTGTCATCCGCCCGCCATGCAAGGTACAATTTGTGGCTGACGAATTGTACGGTTGGAAACGCGTGCTCCCCCTCCCTTGACAGGGAAAGCGCTTGTTCACACACTTGACTAATCACAACCCCTGCTCCCCCTCCCTCTCCGCTTCTCCTTGTCCCTGACATCTCATCCACATGCAAGGTACAACGTGTCACTGACCAATTGCACGATCGGGGATCGCTGTGTTTTCCACAACGGCGTGCAGATCGGGCAGGATGGTGAGATGACCGGGCAGGAAGGGGACAATGAGTAGAATTGTCGAAAAGGATGGTAGGACAGTATTGGGGGGGGGGGGGGGGGGGGGGGGGTTTAACTTTAAGCAGACATGGCAGGATGGTGGTAGGACAGTATTGGGGGGGGGGGGGGGGGGGGGTTTAAGCAGACATGGCAGGATGGTGAGATTTGTGCGCAGATAGGCCAGGCAGGTGGGGAGGGCGTGGAGGCAAACTGGCTGAAGACTTCAATCGGGTAAAAGAAGTATGCACTCTCTCATTGCAAATGTTCGCCGTCTGCATGTTCCTTCGATTCATGTTCGCATATGGAATAGTTTCATTAGTCATGTTATCTTCATTCGTGTTCCTGTTATCTGTTTTCTCGTTTTCTTCGGTATGGTATGCAACCCACACCTCAAGACTGTCAGGAAAATTCCTGACCCTGGTTTTGTATTTTGTGTTGGTGCTTGTTTGTTTGTTTGTTCGTTTTAGGCGTCTTTGGATTTGTTCGTCCTATGTGATTCCTGCACCTCCCTTGTGCAGGGTTTGGTTTCTTCGTGGACGAATCTGGCAACATGGTCAAGAAGCCACAGGTGAGTGAGCCATAGAAGCTTGTTTAGGCGAGCCATAGAAGCTTGTTTAGGCGAGCCATAGAAGCTTGTTTAGGCGAGCCATAGAAGCTTGTTTAGGCGAGCCATAGAAGCTTGTTGTTTAGGCGAGCCATAGAAGCTTGTTCAGGCGAGCTATAGAAGCTTGTTTAGGCGAGCCATAGAAGCTTGTTTAGGCGAGCCATAGAAGCTTGTTTAGGCGAGCCATAGAAGCTTGTTCAGGCGAGCCATAGAAGCTTGTTCAGGCGAGCCATAGAAGCTTGTTCAGGCGAGCCATAGAAGCTTGTTTAGGCGAGCCATAGAAGCTTGTTTAGGCGAGCCATAGAAGCTTGTTTAGGCGAGCCATAGAAGCTTGTTTAGGCGAGCCATAGAAGCTTGTTTAGGCGAGCCATAGAATCCTCCTGCTTATCCTCCTCCTCCCTTCCTTCCTGCGTATCCTCCTCCTCCCTTCCTTCCTGCTTATCCTCCTCCTCCCTTCCTTCCTGCTTATCCTCCTCCTCCCTTCCTTCCTGCTTATCCTCCTCCTCCCTTCCCTCCTGCTTATCCTCCTCCTCCCTTCCTTCCTGCTTATCCTCCTCCTCCCTTCCTTCCTGCTTATCCTTCTCCTCCCTTCCTTCCTGCTTATCCTCCTTTCTTCCCGTCTCTGATGTGCGCTGTCCCTTTCTCAGAGCCCAACGAGAGCCAAATAGAAGCAACCTGTTTGTTGGGCTTCGTTTCTCCTGCCTTTCTGTCCCCCCTTCTGTCTCTCTTTTTTTTCATGGTGGTGTGTATGTGGGTGGCTGGATTGGCGAGGGCAGACGCTGGGGGTGCAGATAGGCAGTGATGTGGAGATGGGGGCAAACACATGTGTTGACAGGGGCAGGTGAGCTAAACTCCCCCATCCGTTTGCTTTCTCTCAGCACAGCTTTCTAGTTTTGAGACGTCTCAAAACCGTTTGCTTTCTCTCAGCACAGCTTTCTCTCAGCACAGCTTTCTGTCAGCACAGCTTTCTCTCTCATTCTCTCAATGCTGTCGCATCTTGCATGAGCACTCTGCTTCTCATACGCGCCTCACTGCATTTCTCCCTACCTCTTCTTAATCCGTTGCCTCTCTTCCAGCTGGAGGGACACACAGATTGGTGATTTCGTGAACAAGTGTTTGAGGCGTGTAAATAGTCGCCCCATTTCTTCTCATACGCTCCTCTCTGCGTTTCTCCCTACCTCTTAATTCGTTGCCTCTCTTCCAGCTGGAGGGACACACAGATTGGTGATTTCGTGAACAAGTGTTTGAGGCGTGTAAATAGTCGCCCCATTTCTTCTCATACGCTCCTCTCTGCGTTTCTCCCTACCTCTTAATTCGTTGCCTCTCTTCCAGCTGGAGGGACACACAGATTGGTGATTTCGTGAACAAGTGTTTGAGGCGTGTAAATAGTCGCCCCATTTCTTCTCATACGCTCCTCTCTGCGTTTCTCCCTACCTCTTAATTCGTTGCCTCTCTTCCAGCTGGAGGGACACACAGATTGGTGATTTCGTGAACAAGTGTTTGAGGCGTGTAAATAGTCGCCCCATTTCTTCTCATACGCTCCTCTCTGCGTTTCTCCCTACCTCTTAATTCGTTGCCTCTCTTCCAGCTGGAGGGACACACAAATTGGTGATTTCGTGAACAAGTGTTTGAGGCGTGTAAATAGTCGCCCCATTTCTTCTCATACGCTCCTCTCTGCGTTTCTCCCTACCTCTTAATTCGTTGCCTCTCTTCCAGCTGGAGGGACACACAGATTGGTGATTTCGTGAACAAGTGTTTGAGGCGTGTAAATAGTCGCCCCATTTCTTCTCATACGCTCCTCTCTGCGTTTCTCCCTACCTCTTAATTCGTTGCCTCTCTTCCAGCTGGAGGGACACACAGATTGGTGATTTCGTGAACAAGTGTTTGAGGCGTGTAAATAGTCGCCCCATTTCTTCTCATACGCTCCTCTCTGCGTTTCTCCCTACCTCTTAATTCGTTGCCTCTCTTCCAGCTGGAGGGACACACAGATTGGTGATTTCGTGAACAAGTGTTTGAGGCGTGTAAATAGTCGCCCCATTTCTTCTCATACGCTCCTCTCTGCGTTTCTCCCTACCTCTTAATTCGTTGCCTCTCTTCCAGCTGGAGGGACACACAGATTGGTGATTTCGTGAACAAGTGTTTGAGGCGTGTAAATAGTCGCCCCATTTCTTCTCATACGCTCCTCTCTGCGTTTCTCCCTACCTCTTAATTCGTTGCCTCTCTTCCAGCTGGAGGGACACACAGATTGGTGATTTCGTGAACAAGTGTTTGAGGTGTGTAAATAGTCGCCCCATTTCTTCTCATACGCTCCTCTCTGCGTTTCTCCCTACCTCTTAATCCGTTGCCTCTCTTCCAGCTGGAAGGACACACAGATTGGTGATTTCGTGAACAAGTGTTTGAGGCGTGTAAATAGTCGCCCCATTTCTTCTCATACGCTCCTCTCTGCGTTTCTCCCTACCTCTTAATTCGTTGCCTCTCTTCCAGCTGGAGGGACACACAGATTGGTGATTTCGTGAACAAGTGTTTGAGGCGTGTAAATAGTCGCCCCATTTCTTCTCATACGCTCCTCTCTGCGTTTCTCCCTACCTCTTAATTCGTTGCCTCTCTTCCAGCTGGAGGGACACACAGATTGGTGATTTCGTGAACAAGTGTTTGAGGCGTGTAAATAGTCGCCCCATTTCTTCTCATACGCTCCTCTCTGCGTTTCTCCCTACCTCTTAATTCGTTGCCTCTCTTCCAGCTGGAGGGACACACAGATTGGTGATTTCGTGAACAAGTGTTTGAGGCGTGTAAATAGTCGCCCCATTTCTTCTCATACGCTCCTCTCTGCGTTTCTCCCTACCTCTTAATTCGTTGCCTCTCTTCCAGCTGGAGGGACACACAGATTGGTGATTTCGTGAACAAGTGTTTGAGGCGTGTAAATAGTCGCCCCATTTCTTCTCATACGCTCCTCTCTGCGTTTCTCCCTACCTCTTAATTCGTTGCCTCTCTTCCAGCTGGAGGGACACACAGATTGGTGATTTCGTGAACAAGTGTTTGAGGCGTGTAAATAGTCGCCCCATTTCTTCTCATACGCTCCTCTCTGCGTTTCTCCCTACCTCTTAATTCGTTGCCTCTCTTCCAGCTGGAGGGACACACAGATTGGTGATTTCGTGAACAAGTGTTTGAGGCGTGTAAATAGTCGCCCCATTTCTTCTCATACGCTCCTCTCTGCGTTTCTCCCTACCTCTTAATTCGTTGCCTCGCTTCCAGCTGGAGGGACACACAGATTGGTGATTTCGTGAACAAGTGTTTGAGGCGTGTAAATAGTCGCCCCATTTCTTCTCATACGCTCCTCTCTGCGTTTCTCCCTACCTCTTAATTCGTTGCCTCTCTTCCAGCTGGAGGGACACACAGATTGGTGATTTCGTGAACAAGTGTTTGAGGCGTGTAAATAGTCGCCCCATTTCTTCTCATACGCTCCTCTCTGCGTTTCTCCCTACCTCTTAATTCGTTGCCTCTCTTCCAGCTGGAGGGACACACAGATTGGTGATTTCGTGAACAAGTGTTTGAGGTGTGTAAATAGTCGCCCCATTTCTTCTCATACGCTCCTCTCTGCGTTTCTCCCTACCTCTTAATCCGTTGCCTCTCTTCCAGCTGGAAGGACACACAGATTGGTGATTTCGTGAACAAGTGTTTGAGGCGTGTAAATAGTCGCCCCATTTCTTCTCATACGCTCCTCTCTGCGTTTCTCCCTACCTCTTAATTCGTTGCCTCTCTTCCAGCTGGAGGGACACACAGATTGGTGATTTCGTGAACAAGTGTTTGAGGCGTGTAAATAGTCGCCCCATTTCTTCTCATACGCTCCTCTCTGCGTTTCTCCCTACCTCTTAATCCGTTGCCTCTCTTCCAGCTGGAGGGACACACAGATTGGTGATTTCGTGAACAAGTGTTTGAGGCGTGTAAATAGTCGCCCCATTTCTTCTCATACGCTCCTCTCTGCGTTTCTCCCTACCTCTTAATTCGTTGCCTCTCTTCCAGCTGGAGGGACACACAGATTGGTGATTTCGTGAACAAGTGTTTGAGGCGTGTAAATAGTCGCCCCATTTCTTCTCATACGCTCCTCTCTGCGTTTCTCCCTACCTCTTAATTCGTTGCCTCTCTTCCAGCTGGAGGGACACACAGATTGGTGATTTCGTGAACAAGTGTTTGAGGCGTGTAAATAGTCGCCCCATTTCTTCTCATACGCTCCTCTCTGCGTTTCTCCCTACCTCTTAATTCGTTGCCTCTCTTCCAGCTGGAGGGACACACAGATTGGTGATTTCGTGAACAAGTGTTTGAGGCGTGTAAATAGTCGCCCCATTTCTTCTCATACGCTCCTCTCTGCGTTTCTCCCTACCTCTTAATTCGTTGCCTCTCTTCCAGCTGGAGGGACACACAGATTGGTGATTTCGTGAACAAGTGTTTGAGGCGTGTAAATAGTCGCCCCATTTCTTCTCATACGCTCCTCTCTGCGTTTCTCCCTACCTCTTAATTCGTTGCCTCTCTTCCAGCTGGAGGGACACACAGATTGGTGATTTCGTGAACAAGTGTTTGAGGCGTGTAAATAGTCGCCCCATTTCTTCTCATACGCTCCTCTCTGCGTTTCTCCCTACCTCTTAATCCGTTGCCTCTCTTCCAGCTGGAGGGACACACAGATTGGTGATTTCGTGAACAAGTGTTTGAGGCGTGTAAATAGTCGCCCCATTTCTTCTCATACGCTCCTCTCTGCGTTTCTCCCTACCTCTTAATTCGTTGCCTCTCTTCCAGCTGGAGGGACACACAGATTGGTGATTTCGTGAACAAGTGTTTGAGGCGTGTAAATAGTCGCCCCATTTCTTCTCATACGCTCCTCTCTGCGTTTCTCCCTACCTCTTAATCCGTTGCCTCTCTTCCAGCTGGAGGGACACACAGATTGGTGATTTCGTGAACAAGTGTTTGAGGCGTGTAAATAGTCGCCCCATTTCTTCTCATACGCTCCTCTCTGCGTTTCTCCCTACCTCTTAATTCGTTGCCTCTCTTCCAGCTGGAGGGACACACAGATTGGTGATTTCGTGAACAAGTGTTTGAGGCGTGTAAATAGTCGCCCCATTTCTTCTCATACGCTCCTCTCTGCGTTTCTCCCTACCTCTTAATTCGTTGCCTCTCTTCCAGCTGGAGGGACACACAGATTGGTGATTTCGTGAACAAGTGTTTGAGGCGTGTAAATAGTCGCCCCATTTCTTCTCATACGCTCCTCTCTGCGTTTCTCCCTACCTCTTAATTCGTTGCCTCTCTTCCAGCTGGAGGGACACACAGATTGGTGATTTCGTGAACAAGTGTTTGAGGCGTGTAAATAGTCGCCCCATTTCTTCTCATACGCTCCTCTCTGCGTTTCTCCCTACCTCTTAATCCGTTGCCTCTCTTCCAGCTGGAGGGACACACAGATTGGTGATTTCGTGAACAAGTGTTTGAGGCGTGTAAATAGTCGCCCCATTTCTTCTCATACGCTCCTCTCTGCGTTTCTCCCTACCTCTTAATTCGTTGCCTCTCTTCCAGCTGGAGGGACACACAGATTGGTGATTTCGTGAACAAGTGTTTGAGGCGTGTAAATAGTCGCCCCATTTCTTCTCATACGCTCCTCTCTGCGTTTCTCCCTACCTCTTAATTCGTTGCCTCTCTTCCAGCTGGAGGGACACACAGATTGGTGATTTCGTGAACAAGTGTTTGAGGCGTGTAAATAGTCGCCCCATTTCTTCTCATACGCTCCTCTCTGCGTTTCTCCCTACCTCTTAATTCGTTGCCTCTCTTCCAGCTGGAGGGACACACAGATTGGTGATTTCG